AATATCAGAAATAAATAAAATCTCAAGGTCAAGACAATAAAAAGTGGCTGAAGAGAAATAATGAGTAGCACAAAACATCATTGCCTTTGTCTACAAGTAATCAAAATCCCCACAACATTCTACAAGCAATACATCACATGGACTCTTTAATACCATATATTTTACTCAATAAGAAGTTATGAAAAACTAAAGCATTTAGAAAAATTAATTGAAATATGACACTTATGCCATGCTCTATAATCATTTCAACAATATATCTATTTTTAATGTGTTTTCACTCTAATGGAGTGAGTGAGTATGATATTACACAGCTTTTAGCCATATTCCAGCGATATCAATGGACACCAGAAAGTGGTCCACATTTTTGTTCCCGTGTCGAGAATCAAACATTTAGAGTGACATGAATTCACTGTAACAACTGGGCTAACCCACCAAATCCTTAAGAGGAACAGTTTCATGTTTATACAAAACTAAAACAATAATCATTTGTTAATGTAATTCAATATATGAGCAACTTTTGCTATTTGAGGTTGTTGTTCTTGAGAGATCTGGCAATAGTAGTTGCAAGTCCATACGAACTTAATTCTTCTAAAGACAATAACTTTTTCCTGACAGGGGTGGTGGGGTAGCCTAGTGGTTAAAGCGTCCGCTCGTCACGCGACGACCCGGGTTCTATTCCCCACATGGGTACAATGTGTGAAGCTCATTCCTGGTGCCCCCCGCAGTGATATTGATGGAATATTGCTAAAAGCGGCATAAAACCATTCTCACTCACTCTTCCTGACAAAACGTGTAACAATGTAAAACAGTGTTTCCAGAAACAGGTTGATAAAAATATTATATACAGTAGAATTAAAGTAATATTTCCACATAACTACAAAGAACTGCATTCAGATAATGTTTCAGTGTATGAGACGTTGCCTGTAGACATTTTCTATACAGATATGTCTTCGAACAGTATTTTCATATCCTATAGAAGTAACTTGTATGCAAATAATGATAGACATCACAGAAGTGCCTTCGGATATTTCTGTATAGAAGTCTTCAGAGAATGATTCTATATAGAAATGCCTGGTAACGTTTCTATACAGAAGCGTGAGATCAACTAATAAATGCTAAAATACATACATATGGTAGGCAGTTGCCATTCACATGAAGAACACAACCAACAAACATGTCGTCAACAATGGATTTGATCACCACAAGACATGTGAGAACAGTCTGATATCCGTTTTGATTCCCCAAATGTCTGGTCACAGTTTTGAGCTATTCAGCTTCCTGGTCTACATGACATGGGTATTAAGACTAAATGAGGAACAGCGCAGTGAAGATAACTAGCACCTACTAGGGCATTCCAGTCTAAGTAAACTTAGGCTCAGTATTATTTGTTACACTGCTAACCCTAGTAGAAGTCGCATCAGCTAACCTTTTGAATTGACCAATCAGAACACAGCTTACCAAATCACAAAAAGTTAACATTCGCACATACCGTCAACCTTTTCAAAACGTGTGTACTCAAACGATTTCGAATGCTATTTTCGGCATGATACACATAGAGAACGCCAAATGTTATTCACAACAGTGAGTAAACAGTCACTGAAAATAGCGTTTTTGTCAATATTCCAGGATCTCATCTTGCGAAAATATAAGCTAATAGTAAACATGTCATCAGAAGCCCCTAAGCGTACATACTGCAGGTTAAATATCTGTGTTTTAAGTGGATTTTCGTTTGTTGAGAGATCAGTGTCAGCGACCGGGAAAGAGAAAATCCATTTTGTAAGTCCCACTGAACCCTAAATAGTGTCCGTTGTCTGATTAGTTCAATCCGTTCGGGCCGTCTCACGTTTGATTGGACAGTCATAGCTCGCTCAAACGTTAGCTGCTGCCACCTTCTACTGGGGCTTGTTAAGACTCAGTATAGCAGTGTAACGAATAATACTGAGCCTAAGTTTACTTAGACTGTGGGGCATTCATAGTATGATAGTGCTGCTTAAGTGTTTCACTTTGCAAATCTCCAATCTATCGATCACTTGTACCGTTATATTTGGGATTACAATTTCTCAGTAAAGTACAGAATTCAAGAGTCAATGACAGACAGAAGATAAGACACACAAACTACATCAGCAGTACATAAACACTCAAACTAAGGTACCGGTATAACATTGGATTATTGTCTGCTGTTTATGTGATGTTGCATATTTTCTCCATGAGAAATATTGATAAACACAAGTTATTCAATTCAGGGTTTTACGGAACGCGTGATTCCTGTGTATTGGACGCCGAAATTTACTGAAGTACCCCCAAACTAAAATCCTGTGTGTCCTTGTGGTTACAATATAATGTTTTCCTGGGAAAAAACTTTCTGAGTTTGTAATGATATCCCACAGGGGTGGAAGTAACTTTATAATTGCTAGTGTACTCGGTACAGTGGCACATGTAAAATCACTTGCCCTGATAATTTTTCCACTATACCGGCCGTTTTCTTGTTGATTTTTTAAATAAACAACATAATTAAGATTGGAATATCAACTGGACACCGGTACAGTGTGATATACAAATTTGCTTGCCCGACAGAAAAAAACACTGGACTCAGGCGTCGGGCAATGGGTTATTTCCACCCCTGTCCCATATCAAAATATAAACATTCTGTTTACAATCATTATTCTAATGACATTGAAAGCAACACATATTATAACATAATCATTATCATTAATATCAAATGGGAAGCATCCATTAACATTGATTTCATGCAAATTACGGACTACCAATTCTGGAAATGGACTCTCAGAATACATATGCCCTGAGTCCCCAGGACTTCCACTTTCGAAGGGCTATGTAAAACCCTGTTCAGTTCCCTCCATACAAGTTTAAGAAAACATGATTTTCTCATAGGACGATGATCAATCTGTCTGGGATTACAGATTAATTTTAGTCATATGAAAACGTCAGGGAAGTCTTTAACTCAATTTGCATAACATATATTCAATAAATGGCATTATGTGTCACTGATCACGACGTCATTATGGTACAGACACAGATTGGCCCCAAGTTTGAGAGTATAAATAATGTTACAGACTGGTTTATGCCAGCTTTGCACTGCATCATCTTTGAGACAAAGTTTTCCTGATCTATTCCACTGAATTCACATTGAGACACTTGAGGTTTCCCTTCTGCTCCACCCATGCTATCCAGGGTACGTAACTAATGTCCTTGTTGGGAATTTGATTTCTGACTTAACATCACATTAAAAACAATTATACACAAACATTGCACCCTTTGAGTGCCATAAAGTAACACTGCAAAACAAACAATTCCTAACCTAAGCAAACTTATTATGTTACACCAATTTGAGATCAAATGGCCCCAGTTAAACTTCCCAAGCTATTTATGTGAAGTCCTTGAATGGCACTAAGAAGTTATACACATAAAGCGAGAATTTATGGATGTCAATTTCCTTTTTTGTGTATCACAAGGTTTCAGAGTATATTCCCGCCTTTATTTATGTGAAATGCATATAGAGAAGGTGGTTTGTCAATGACGAGTATCAACTGCCAAAAGTGACTTCAGCGCGCTAAGATGATACAACTCTGATATTTTAAGATAGACTCACGGCAAGCATAGCACCAAGAAATATCTTCTATGGAAAAGTTAGTAATTATTATCTAACGGTATATGAAAATTGTGGCATCGATAATATCTTCCCTAGACTACTGAGATGAAATAAGCTGTGTATTTACACAAACAACATACAGTGTTACGTCTATATTCATTTGCCGCTAAACACTGTTTTCGTTAGTAATCCATGCAATAATGTGTCACCAATCACCAGTGACGTAAAATATTGTGATTTCTTTTGGACATGTTTTTTTCTTTTTCGTTAAAGCCAGACCAATTTTATTTCTTGTTTTACGGATTTTTGTCCTCAGAAAACCTAAAGGCAGGAGGGAAAAAAAACAAAAATAAAATCACCAGTCAAAGTAATATTCCCTTTAAATACTAAAAGTATTTTATTTTTGGCAAGTTATGAAGTGTATATGGGGCAAAAACAATCAAAACATTTTGTATTGTTGTAAGTTTACATTTTTGGCCAATAAAGACTTGAAGATTTTATTTTTTGAGCGGGGAAAATTAAGTTGTTTTTTTTCTTATTCTTGAAAAAAATTCGACCAGCGGATCTGCAAAACAACAAATAAAATTGGTCTGGCCTAAAGTTACACATCTTCTCATGTGAAATACACCATACATATCGCTCTTGGAGCAACCAGTTCAAATTACATGTTATATATGGTTAACAATGTGTCCTAAAGTCAGTTTGCATAGAAACAATTGGTTTTGTGGTATACACAAAATTCAATCTCTAAGTATCAAAACAAATATAATTACAACAGACAAAATGTGTCAATATCAGCAGATATCAGCAGCAGATCTCAGATTTATAAAAAACATGTAAGGTGCCTCAAAAATGTAGACAACCTCCAGTATATCCCCCAGAGATCAACAGGCACACTCTCCCCAAAATATCAAGTCATTCAATAAAATGTCTGTTCATCCTCATACTAACCAACAGTTCAATAACAACTTACAATCATGCTCAAAGTAACAATGTCAACACATAATGGTGCATATACTGCTCAAAAGAAGTTAAGGGCCAGATTCTTTCATATTGATTCAGTTAATCTGTAATGGCATGAAAGATGAACGGTAGTAATATGAAAGAATCGTTGTCCTTACCTTTGTTGGCGTATGTACACAAGGGCAAGTTTCACAACTCTAATTATACTGGGTTGATATTTTTCATAGAAAATAAATACTATAACATTGAATATGTCAAAGACCATGAATCACAATTAGGGCTGCACGGTATTACCGGTATATCGCAATACGTTTTTCAAACGATACGTATTGCAATATTTTTTCTGAGAACCGGTATATTGGGTAAAGAACATATGAAGTTTTTGTGATTATCTTTATGGTTTAAATTAAAATCTACACACCTTCATTCACAACAAATGTTTTCCTTCATTATTCAATTGCAAAACGGCAAACTGTAATCTAATAAATTGTATAAAAAAGAATATAAAGTCTATGCAACCTAATGTTAAAACTGCAGCTATCAGAACCATAACATGCACGTTTAGGGACTTAAAATGTAGAAAATAGGATCGACAAGTACGATTAGTGTCATTTCTGTCAAACACTTCAGTTCCCAATATATCGCAATACGGGTGCCTGAATCGCAATATATTGCAATACAATTTATTTGCCAGTACACAGCCCTAATCACAATGGTTTTCTCCAATAGTCTCTAGCTCCAGCACCGTATCCCTCAGAGTAAATACAACAATACCCATACAATGACAAAGTATACAACCCAAATCCAGCATATATCCTGATAAATATATCAGAGATAGTGATCCAACACAATCTGTGTCATTCAAATCTTAATAATTCACATAAAAACACACTTTTGTCTTGGTTAACATAAGTTTCACAAAATGTTGCAACTGTGACAGAATCTCTGAAGTTCATTTATCAAAGTAGAATGCTGGATACAATGTCAAAAATTCAAATCGTAAAGAGTTAATGACATTGTGTTTCTTTGAGAGGCATTTAAAGTTGGAGTAGTAAGGGGGATAACAATATAAGGGTGAACAGCTTCTTTATTACAATGAGAGCGATGTGATAACAGTGTTAGAACCTACACTGAAATATTGTTCTCACTGTAATAAAGAAGTTGTTCAGCCATATATTTTTATCCTCCGTTAATGACACCCATCTAATGACAGTATTGTAAAGAATCGAAAGTTATTCCCCACTAACATCCAGGTGGCTTGACCTCAAGCCACCAGTCACTGGGATACAGGTATTTAAGGATTTCGATGTTTTCGTGCGGCACAGGAACGTCTTTCCCATATAGCTTTGCTGTGGGAAAGGGTGCGTCCAAAAGTTGTGAGGGAAAGTTAATGGATTTTTTCTCAAACAACCACATGATGTTATGAACCCAGCCTGTACGATACATTTCACCATTAATATTAGACAGGAACGTCGTGATATAACCTTCTGCACTCTTGTACTTTATTTCATACATCCCTTGCTTGGAGTTATAAGACATTGTCATGCCACTTCTTCTGAACATTTCTGCAACTTTTCGCCTGTCGAGTTTCACAATGTCTATTGCGTTGGCACAGAAGTCCACGTTGTTGTCCCATGGCAGGATCTGCTGATTTCGTAATGTGCCCCAGAGAGTTCCATAACAAACTGCATGCGGAACATTCAGAGCGTTGAGAGTTTCGTGGATTTTGAACACCAACTCTTTCATGTCGTTCATGACGCCAGTGTCGGTTTTGCATGGTGCAGAAAACTGATACCATTTCTTGTTGTGGAATTTCAGCTCCGTAAAAATAGAAAACGAGAACCAAAACATGAGAACAAAAATTGCAAAGATGGTGGCCACCTTTCTCCATGACATGTTGACACATCGGTAGGCCGTTGAGATGGTTTTGTCTTGACAGGTAATTGACGCCATCGTCAGCTGATTGAGATCAAGGCCAATGAGCAGTCAGCACAGCTGTCAGACCTTAAAAATCTTCCCTGACTGAAAAGTAAACATTATATCATTCTGAATTATGCTTAGAAGAATAAGAAATGTTTTCACAACTTACTGCCATGATTTATAAATACATGAATGGGTATCAGAGCTCTATTGACGTATCTAAAACATGTAGAAATATATGATGTAAGTCTCCGTATAGACGCGTCAACAAGTAATAAATCTCAACAGCTGTCGTCCAATCGAACACAACCTCTCATTCAATGGTCGAGAAGCAAGTGCTTGAATCTAATTGCCTAACGATGCACTGATTCTGCGCTCAAAACTCTAACATGATTGACATTTAAAACGTCCTGTTAGTGAGTGGCGACCACACAGAGTAGCGTCAAACGTTTTACCTGCATCGTCATCTCAATAAACCCTCGCCATGGATGTGGCATATTTGTGAGGATTGTGTCCTCGGACAGTCGAGGTTGTGAACTAGAGTTATCTTCTCTTGCTGATGATGTCGTAATATAAGTTTAGATTTACAAGTCTGCATCTAGAACTTACAATATTGTCACATAAGCATATACAAGTATATTAAATAATACTTCTAATGAATCATGTATGTTTTCGTAATAATTACAACATATTTACAACCCATTTCCGTTAGGGCCGTAAACGGGGAAATTCCATTAAAATCCGGAAGGCACAGATTAGTAGGGCGGATAACAGACCAAAATAGGCCGAATCGTTCACTTTGTGATACAAGCACCAAAATTGGCATGATCGAATCGTTCACTTTGTGATACAAGCACCAAAATTGGCATGATTGCTCACCATGGGCTCTCTGTTCAGAAAATAACGTTGGCCTATCAAATATCCAAGATGGCCGCCACTGGTTATACAAAATTATGATCTTTTTTCTTTTGACTATCATTTTTGGCAAATGTTTTTCATCCAGATGTCTAGTTTAGTTTAGCTTGCAGAACCATGATTTAATGGAAAATAATAAATTATATGGCTGGTTTTATCTGAATATGGTAGAATATAATTTCATTTTTGTTATTTTCTTCGTAACTCTTGTCTCTATTAATTGTTCGTGGTGCCTAACAACAAACAAAGATTCAACAAAGATTCATCTTAAACAAAACAGCATTGGCCACTCAAAAATCTAAGGTGGCCGCCATTTTTCAAGATGGCTGCCATTGATCATACAAAATTTTTGGTTTCCTTCAGATTTTCTTTGCAGACTTTCATCACTCTGATATTTATACCTAAATGGGTTTTAAAGAGACATACTTTAAGGGAATTGGTGAAAATATTGCACTGATATAATCCATATTTAGATAAAATAATAAATAGGTGAGCAAGATAATATATTAAAATATTCATGTTTGTTTATCTCTTGTCCGTATTACTGTTAACAATTCTCACATATTTAGTTTTTGAGAAATATTGTGGCACATAAGATAACACAGTTAACAGATTTATTTCAATGTTTAATCAAATATATACTACTAAAAAAATAGAAAAAGAAACGCCTAGCCAGTATTTTTCCATGTAATGTTTCGAAAATGAATCATAAGTGTGTATCTAATCAGTATGTCTATGAATAGGACTGCACGGTATTACCGGTATACCGGTATATCGCAATATGCTTTTCAAACAATTGCAGTATTTTTTCTGAGAATCGGTCCATTGGGTAAAGAACATATATGAAGTTTTTGTGATGATCTTTGTTTAAATTAAAATCTACACAGACATTAATTTAAAACAAATGTTTCCTTCGTTATTTAATGACAAAACGGCAAACTGTAATACAATAAATTGTATAAAATACAAAATAGAATTCCTGACTACGCAACCTAATTTTGAGAATGAGAATCATGACATATATGTTTAGGGACTTATAATGTAGAAAATAGGATTGACAAGTTCCTAATATATCGCAATACGGGTATCTGAATTGCAATATATTGCAATACAATTTATTTGCCAATACACAGAACTGGCGAGCTGGCTAAGGCGCCAGGCTAGTGATCCCAGCGAGGTTGAGGTGCCGGGATCGAGCCCACCTGTGACCAGGTGTAAAGCCTTGGAGTCAACTTCAGTGTTGTCACAACCCCTAGTGTACAGTACACAACCCCGTGCACTTAAAAGAACCCACGAATCCGTTGGTATATGACCAGATGGTGGCCACATGAATACGTGCAAACACCTAGTTGCGGGTACAGAAACGTGCAGTAAAACTTGGACAAAGTACTGTGACTATGTGTCCCAGTCCACCCAACTGTGAATGGGTACCTCGTTAGGATGAGAAAGCCACAATAACTCGGTGCGCCTAGTGGCAGCAAGAGTTGTATACTCCCCAGGGAGTTGAGATTGATAATACGATGTGCCGTTGAGATTGACATCCAATGATCGAGGGAAAAATACCAGCGCCTTGAGCATGCACCAGTTGCGTGGATATGTGCGCTATATAAATATACTATAATAAAATAACGCAACCGAATTTGTTTTGTTTTTTTCAATAAAGGTAATAAAGAATAAATGTGATGCGATTCATGCACTTGCCTTTGCACGCACAATCCGTGCAACGTTTACAATAGAAACCAGGGGGTCTGATTGCTTTAGCGGCAGTTGACAAACGTAAATCTTGAAGTGAAGTCATGCCTAGATTTACCGAGGCTCAGCACAACAATGCCGGTCATTTGGAAGCTGGTGAGTCGGCACGTTTATGTGTCCAAGAGTACCACAGGAAGGCTTGGGCATCAGCTGCATGGAACGACACGTGATCGTCCTCGGCCAGGATGACCCCGGGGGACAGGTTTATTGGTCTTCGACACTTACCGAACAGGTTCACGCCCGCATCCTCTACACCATCTGTAGTGCCAGGACTCCGAACAATCTCGGACACAAACTGTCAGGAACCGCCTTCGTTTGGCTGATATTCGTCCTAGGAGACCCTTGCGAGGACCTTTGCGACCTATCCTTACACGACATCATCGGCAACAACGTAGACAGTGGTGTCGAAACCATCTCCAGTGGCCATTACAAAGTGGAGAACTGTCATGTTCAGTGATGAGTCGTGGGCTGGTATATGCTCAGTACAGATGGCGTTATGAACGGTATGCTCCCAATTGCGTACAGAAAGTGGACAGATTCGGTGGCGAGAGTGTTATGGTTTGAGCAGGCAGTGGAAGACCCGATGTTATTTACGTCCAAACCAATCTTACAGGTCGACGTTACCGTGCCATAAAATCATCAGGCCTCGTGTCATTCCATTCATGAACTGTCAGAACGTCATTTTCCAACATGACAATGCTCGACCGCATACAACAAGATTCACCAGAGATTTTCTTACACAGCACAACGTTCAGGTTCTTGCACGACCCTCCCGATCACCAAATCTGAACCCAACTGAACATTTGTGGAAGGAACTGAATCGACGTGTGCGACAATGTGATCCTCAGCAGCAGACTTTAGCTGCTTTGTTTCTGGATTTGCACGAAGAATACCAGGTCATTCCTGGACAGTTCATCCGGAATCTGATCCAATCTATGGGACGCCAATGCCAGGCAACCATTGCTGCTAATGGTGGTCACATAAGATATTGACTGCTCTGTGACTTTGACCTTTCTGCACTGGACAATACATTCTCTATCACTATCCTGTATCACTCAACTTACATGCATAACTTTATGACTATTTTCAGCTATGCGGGGAGGGGTTTTTTTTGAGTAGTATAGATTCAAAATTAGATAACATTGTACCCAAACAAACTTTATGGGTTTTTAAAATATTTTTTCATAGTTATCAAACTTGATGTAAATAAATAAACGGTATAGTCAATATGTTTGCCAAAATATATTGAAACATTGATATCTCATCTCCTGGTGAGTAAAATTATTGACTCATGTTAAAATCAGATTTTAGTAAACAAAAACAAATTGCGTTATACAAATTCTAAGAAATATGTGATTAAATTTAAAGTACGTCATAGCTGCATCTAGCATAGCCTATTCCAAAGTCACCCCGCTCAAACGTTTCTGAAAAGTGAGAAGCGTAAGTCGCAAAGCCCTCAATTCCAGTAAATTATTTTAATATGGTACTGGACATGGAACTCTTGATCCTTCGATACTTATATAGATATGTCGTTGTTACAGACAAAACTCAATGTCTTGTTTTATTGATACCTGTGTGTCTGCCTGCCTGTCTGCTAATGACAATATTCAATACACAGCTGCTATCACTGACCACATGCAATTTGAACTTAACACCAATCAGGCTATACGCCATAAACAAAATGCATTGATTTATGGCCCGAGTTCGGTCTCTGTCACATTATGTAATTAAACAGACAGGCAGGTGTGATACTTGAACACATGACATGTTATGATGTCTGTTGATTGCAAAATGTTATACACAAAAAATGAGCATGTATTTACAAAACCCAACATCTCTCTATATATATGCACACAATTAGCCGTGAAGGCATCTGTAAATGAACCAGCCATTACACTTGAGTGCACACCCACCCGCTCTGACTGGGTTCGGTATCCCGGCTGCTTCGTTTCTTGGGAAGTAAATCCAAGTACACAATATTGCACTTCTGATTTGCGATTATACGCTTATAATTTTGTTTATATGTTTTTTCTTATAACCAGCAATGTATATTATATGTCATGAATAAGTGATAATTGTGTTTTAATTATGTTTGATTTTTGGGTTGCATGTGACCTTCAAGCTGAGCAGATCATTTAGAGAGGCAGTTATAAATGAACCAAATGAGCCAGGTAAACAGTTACAATATAGATGATTTTGGTGTCTATACTTCCTTACAATAATTTTGTTCTTTGGAAAGCTATAAAAACTATCATTGAACATTCATTGTCTTCTTGTTCTTGTATTAAATGATGATCTGATAATCAAAGTTGTGGAATGAAAAATGGCGCCCATCTTAATTTGGTAAAATGTTGCCTTTGAAATACTATCTCTCTTCTCTTGACGTAGTCAACCTTATTATTTGATCAACATGAATACCACCAACCATATCTGAGACCAAAAAGTCGAAATCTGGTTGAAAATTGTCGTATTTTGCCTCATTTGACATTTGTTTATAATATGATATGGTGGCCATCTTGGGTTTCCTTCAGCGAAATGAATATGTTTTCTAGCCTATTACATCATCCAGTCTAGAGATGTTATGATGAAAGTCAAACATGGAGACTACTTTGGATTCTTTCCAGGTTTGAGATCAAAATGCAAGAAATTTTATCAAAACCTTGCTGTTTTGGGAAAACTGGCAGCCATCTTGGATTTCGGAGGCAATAATATTTTGCTACATAGCATAAACAAAACCTTAATTAACACATTGAGACACAAATACATTGAAAATCTCAGAGAAATTCTGTTTTTAGGAGCTGAAAAAAAGACCGTGTAATACAAATGGCATTCTCTTCCCACAGAGGTTACTCCTGTCATATCTTCCTACGTAACCTCTGTTCTAATACGGCCATATTTCCCGGTTCTCGTAAAATCCCCTAGCGGCAAAAGATCGCAACACGAATTATCTCCCCTTCTTTCTATCCAATCAGAACACGTGTTACATCGACTTAGATTCAACTTGACTAACACAAGCAAATGTGGGGCCACAAATATCCCCCATCTGCCGGGGACTTGTGTTGATGTTACACACAAGACGTTTAATGGCTAGCTTGTCCGTTGTCAACGAGGGCGATGGAGACGCCACTGATCCGCCATAACATGACTGAGTTCTGTCTAGAAGAAACGTTTGCGCATCGCGCAGGGGAAGAGGTTTAGTTTTCTCGAAGCATACGGAAATTACCGAGGCCTTGCGAATGGTCACTTTTGAAACAACGTCGCTGATTGCACAACTAAATCTGATTGCCTCCAATCACGAGTCTTGAACGCTCACACCATGAAAGGGCCGTATTAGAACAGAGGTTATGTAGGAAGATATGACAGGAGTAACCTCTGTGGGAAGAGAATGTACAAATGGCGGCCATCTTGAAAAATGGCGGCCATCTTGGAATTTTGAGTGGCCAACGTTATTTTTTCAGTAAGCGTACCAAAGTGAACATGCATGCAAATGTTGTTGCTTGTATCACAAGTGAACGATTTTTCCATTATCTGCCCTACTACATATATGCACGTTTTGTATACAGAGGAACCGAACTCCTTGGTACCCGAGAAACGATAGCGCCTTATCTGGGTGTCGACGTAACCCCACTGCCGCTTCACGTGCCATAAGACATTGGAAAACAATTGATGTCATCCGAGCTCGACACAATGGAGTTCGATTGCATTAGTATACATACACACATTTAAAACAAAAATGAAAATACATTCACGGTTAAATGAATGATGGATGAGGTGGGTGTTACGTTATACATAAACGGTCGAAAAGGTTGTTTCTGGACGAATGTGTTTTCAGTATTGTTTGTTTCACGTCGCACTTTGTCGTGTAACGCCGCACTCAGCAATATTAATTCCAGCTATATGGCGACGGTCCGTAAACAATAGAGGCTGGACCAGACAATCCAATGATCAACAGCACGAGCATCGGTCTACGCAATTTGGATATGGTGACCTATGTCAACCAGGTCAGCGAGCCTGACCACCTAATTTCATTAATATGTTGTACTGCAAGTCTACTGGGGTATATTAAGAGGTCACTGTTAGTGGGAAGTTACGATAAAACAGGTGATGAACGGTCTTTGCATGTGTGAAACCTGCGTACATGGACATTGTGTTGCCAAAAAGTAACACACCGGATCACTAATCAGCGGATCCTGACACGACTAAGGGAGGTTAGTCTGTCGTACAGACCCTGAATCAAATATATCCAAGAAAGCCCACGCAAGTCTCGAAAATGTGGCAAGTCTAGATTTCCTCAGATTCAGTCTCAGGGCTCCTTTTCATTATTTTTATTTTTTACTATGATCTTGTTTCAGTAAAATATGTTCATTTCAGAGACTAGTTGTTAGTCTAAAAGGATAGACTGCGAGCCCAATGGATCGCGCGTGACCTCAAGATTCTCACAGCATAGGCTGCCTAATACATTTGTTTGTGTCATGAAATGTTAGCATCTTGTATTGTAATTTTTCTGAATTTAGGAAATAGTTGGGGGTTTTAAATTCTGCCTACCAAGGTTGTTTAGTTTGGATTCCTTGATAAAACACTGCTTGGAAAATACCTGTATCTTTTTATTGTTCAAACTGATGAAATTATGGGTCTCTTGTGTGAGTGAGGTATTTTACGCCACCTTTGAACATCAGTCTGTGGTGTAATAATCTGTGGCTTATCACCGAGCGAAGGGAAATCATAGATTCAGAATATCTGCCCCAACCCGAGCGCGACAAGGCGATAACAACAAACTAAGCTGGCTGGGGTGTTCAGAGGGATCTCTTGATAAAATATCGTTCACCACCTATGACCATGCACGCACAAACAAAGCGTTCGCTCGTCAAGCTGAAGACCCGGGTTCGATCCCCACATGGGTACAATGTGTGAAGCCTATTTCTAGTGTCCCCCGCCGTGATATTGCTAAAAGTGGCGTAAAACTAAACTACCCAACTCACTCATTCACTCACTGTTCCAGCAAAAGAAGCAAACAGACTCCATTGTAGCTCCCGGATTCTTGGACAACACGGGCGATGGGATAGTCTAGTGGTTAAAGCGTTCGCTCGTCACTCTGAAGACCCGGGTTCGATTCCCCACACGGGCACACGTGTGTGAAGCTCATTTCTGGTGTCCCCCGCCGTGATATTGCTGGAATATTGTTAAAACCATACTATCATTCACTTGAACAGGGCAAAACATTAGCACACACTCCTCCTCTTTCAGCACTTCGTCGCCTGAAAACCAGAGTGTTCTATGTCACTTAAACCTAATTTGGAGATAATGGACTCCAAACATTGAAATACGACCTTCATACCATTTATTTAAGATTGTCAAGTCAGATTTACACATAAGGAAGAAAACAGTGTTCTTAAGCATTCAAAACCTTAATTTGGACAAATTGCATAGGCATAAATGACTATTTGGCATTTTTGTGTGGAGATGGAACAGTCACTTTACATGAAAGTGGACTTTTGTTAAAACCAAAGTGTTCCAAGTGCATATTCTAGGAGAAAATGGACCTTAATGTTGATGTAATTGAACCATTACTATATTTGAAGGTGTTTACAGTGAATTTCAGCTTACATATATCACATTGACTGTGAAAAATTATGAACATTCCTCGCATAATCTAAAATAGGGTCTCTGTATTCCACGGAACCTGTTCCACCCCTCAAGTATTTTTGTAGTGGACTAGTAGTAGGCCTTCTGTTTAAAAGAAACCACCATTTTCAAAGACAAAACAAGAGCATCTTTAAAGAACATTATTTATTTGTCAAAGTATCAACATCACAACAGAAAAAGTCTTGGCTGTAAATTAGAGAACTGGGAGAACCGCACACTCAAGAAATAGACTACATTAATGTATATACCGATTTGTTACACCTAGGGTTTGAAATCATCGCGAGAATAAAAACCGTTTGTACACCAGTGCGAATATCACTTCATATGTAAGAATTCCCGTATAACATTAGTTCTTCGCTGAGATATTACTGGCACCCGTGGAGATCCGGGTTAGAATTAGTCTTCAGCAACCCATGCTTGTCGTAAGAGGCAGCTAACGGGATCGGGTGGTCGGGTTCATCGTATCCCAACAACGTAGATCAATGCTCATGCTCTTGATCACCGAATTGTCTGGTCCAGACTCGATTATTTTCAGACCGCCGTTTATAAGATGGAATATTGTTAAGTGCGGCGTTAAACAACAAACAAATATTACAGGAAGGTTTGCTAAAAGTGAGGAAAAATTAACCTAACTCACTCACTGGCATTCGCCCTTGCCCGGGAAATAGTGGATTTGTGAGATTCGTTTGTATAAAGCCAGTACAACCTTCGTATAATAACCTCCACATTTTGTCTCTGCGTGCCCCGAGTGATCGTGTCATAGAGTTATCTTTGTTTATGCAGAGCAGAAAATTACGCATATATATGCGGGTGTATAAGAGCTTTTGCCTTTCAGCGTCACATTGCGATAAGCTGGTTCAGAGACCATATACCGGTATATGGTCTCTGGCTGGTTAAACTGCGATCGTAATCACCGCTCCCTGATAACTGTCATATATAATCCACTGATTATATCTGAACAGTTTAGACACGCCTTGTGAACATGTGGAGAGACAAGTTTGATTATTTGCTGGTGCGACCCGGTAATATTCTTCCGGGATGTTACGACATCATATGGTTTACGACAACCGCAAATTGGCTGAACGCAGTTGTTGCTGGTGCGTTTTTATGAAATTTACTAGCGCTCATATAATTGAGAATTTGTGCAGTGTAAAATAAACAACCGTGAATTTCCGTGAGCTGTTTTCCTATTTCTCTTCGTGACATTATCTGTTGACTACGACAAATGACATGCCAAACGCATACAAATGCATTTTAGGAAACGTTAAATTAGCTGGTTAATCGGTTTCCGAAGCTACGCCTGTGCTTCAAATGTGTATAGCTCTATGATCATGATAATACGTGATATGATAAATGTTATAATATATAAATCAGAAAACAACTTGAAATCCGGCGTTTTCACGTTTTCGATTCACACGACAGCCTCCATAACATGTCTAATCGATAGGGACGTCAAGCTAGCCTTATGAAGAAAGACACGACTTTTGAAATGCTCCTTCATACGTGTAAACTGATGTTATTGCAAAAGCTTGCAATTATTTAAAATGTTTTGAAAATTCATGCAGTGTGTAACAGCAAAGTCTCTACATGTTAACATGACATTATTTCTGTACATGATTGTTCACTAATGTTTTTCAAACAAAAAAGAAATAACTAGATTTTTAAGTTCCAGATTTTACACAAACAATATATACACTGAAAACAAATACCGATAACCATGACTGTGTTCAGTTTACTATAAGATACATGAGCAATTCATCAATAGAGTTACTGCATAGACAATAACCATGAGTTACTGACAAATGCAAGAAATCTTGAACTAAGCTGTGTAATAAGTATCGAAGGCATAATCCTGGTTGAATGTTTTTGAACTGGCGGGAATATTACAAGCAATGTTACATAGTGCACATGTTTGTTGTGCCACCAGCCCCATATTTTAATTTTTATAAATATATTAAACTTGAAACAGGTTATAAGTTTTCTTCAGATGGAAATGATAGTTTCAGATTGAAATCACTTTAGAATACATGTGTACAAAAAATATATATAACGATTCACTCGCGATATTCGTACATGTACATATTTATTTACGATTTTTTAAGGGAGCATGTTTTACTTGAACCCTTGTACTTTTGGAAAGTGAGATATGCAAGGATTGAATATGTACTAGCATTGCCATTTTGGCATCCCCTGCCATGATATTGCTGGAATATTGCTAAAAGCGGTGTAAAACTAAACTCACTCACAATTATTTTTTGTTATGTTTTTATCGCTGCTCATCAGTCCTGCCAAAGAATGCAGATCTTTGCAATATGATGATTTTAAGGTACATGTATTATATTCTGCGTCTGATTAACAGTGGCGGGAAGACAGTGTGAGGAACAAGTCCAGGATGAGTGACCCAGACTTTGAGGAGCAGCTTCGCCAGGAGCAGCTGGAGAAGGAGAAGAATGACGTGGACCGAGGGACATACACGGATCAGGATGGAACCGTGATGGAGTGGGATGCACAGAAGAAGGCATGGTTTCCCAAGGTTAGTGGATCAGGGTTGATAGCCTTGTGGTTAAAGCGTCGATTGTCAATGACCCGGGCTCGATTCCCCACATGGGTACAATGTGTGAAGCCCATTTCTGGTGTCCCCGCCATGATATTGCTGGAATATTGCTAAAAGCGGCGTAAAACCACACACACTGCTAAAGGAAAACATTGATGGATGTCAACTTCTTTAGTAAAGGAAAATGTTTCGGAGTTTAATCTTACTCTTTTATTGCCTGATGAACACATGGAACAGATATAATGGAAATAATTACCAGGGGCCTTGTAATGTCCTTTTCAAGCATTTATTCATTTTAAGCAGGTTATAGAGGATGATTTTGACAGAATCTGTCGTATAGCCTGTAACAGACATTAAAAAACCCAGTGTTAATCTTTTCGAGGCTTGGTGATGAGAAAATACATTCCAACTGTCATACACTAAGGTCTGAAATTAATTAAACTGATTCAGCTATACTGTTTTATTCTGTTCCCAGATTGATGCTGACTTCATTGCCCAGTATCAACTGAATTATGGGGGACCACCCACTGAGAATGCAGAGGATGGAAAGAAGGATGATGATGGGAAGACAGAAGAAGAAAAGAGGAAGGAATATGAGAAATATTGTCAGGACTACCATAATTACTACTCCCACTATTACAACCAACAAAGTGGGGAGAACGGCAACGATGGTGAGGAGCGAAAAGAAGGGGGATCAAGTGATGGCCAAGGGGGAGACAACACTTCCAAGGGAGAGAACTCTAAGGATCCAACCAATCACTATGATGACTATTTTGAATATTATAAGTATTACTATGGAGAAGATTATGACCAGGGAGAGAGTGGAGAAGGAGAGAAGGAAGACGAAAAAGGGGAAGAAAAGAAGGAATCAGAGACAGAAAAACAAAAGGCAGGAGAGAAGAGAAAAGAAGGTAGGTAGTACAGTCAGTTGTAATGTTTTGTATTATTTTGTCACAGCAACAATGACCTCTGCTTTCCACCTTGCAGATACAGCAGATGGCATTACTTCTAAACTGCTGACATCCATTCTTTAGATTTATGTGTGTTGGATGCGCATTTGTTTTTTGCATGAAACCCTGCTTGTATATCTGAACTGTTTGTACTGTTTTACGTACAGGCTGGTTTGAGCATGACAGTGAGAGGAGTGCACATGTGTACGTATCCAACCTGCCGCTGGACATCACGGACGAGGAGTACAAGGAACTGATGAGCAAGTGTGGACTCATCATGCACGACCCCATCACCAGGAAACCCAAGCTGAAGCTGTACCGGGATCAGAACAAGGACCCAAAGGGGGATGGGCTCTGCTGCTACATCAAGGTCAGGGTCAGATGTCTGAGGGTGGTGGGGTGTGTGTGGGATCTACCTTGGTTTTAGACTACCAGGGCCCCGTTCCTATAGAAAGTCTATGTTAAAGTATGGGAGTTACGATCATCTTTGCGCTACGATCGCTTTGAGGAACGGGGCCCTGGTCTCAAGTTCCATGTGATCTCGTGTGGGGTTCGATGTGGTGTGGTGTGGTGTGTGGTGCGATGTGGTGTGTGATGCGATGTGGTGCCCATTGTCTCAACTGTCAGCCTCTTTTCTGTACTGAGGCCTAAAAAAAATGTTGTGGTTCCGATTACCCGACCGACCCTTGAATTCTGGTGCCGACCCTATGTTTTAAAGCAGTATAAATAAAATAAGCTTTCAGATACCACTGCATTTTCCCGGAACCGACGGACACCAGTCATTCTGATAACGAAAGTTGACATGATGGCCGAAAGCTTTTACCGAAACTGACGGACATCGGTCATTCTGATAGAGAAAGTTGACATGAAGGCCATAAGCTTGATTGAATAAACAATTACACATTGATAAATGTGTTATTAAAGTAGAAAAAACCCTATTTTTTCGCATTTATATCTACAATTTATGTAGTTAATATGTGAAAGTGTGAAATATCTGCTAAACTTAGTGCGGCATAACTACAGTCTCAGTGGTAGAGAGATAGGAAACGTAGAAAAAGGAATTTACTGAGGAGAGATTAGTGCAGAAGTGAGCAATGCAGTTTTTTTCTAAGTCGAAAGCGACTTATTTCAAACAGACCATGGCTTTATGCAAATTAGTAGTGCAATGATATTGTATTACCAAAGGAAACTTTTTAAATGCCCATTTTGAAATTAAAATTAGTTTCATCATAAACGATAGCTGACGTAAAAAATAATAACTTAAAGACTGAAAATATTAAGGATGTAGCTACCATTGAGTCTCACTATCACTATAAAAAGAAACAGGTAGGAGGGGTCATCTCAAAAGTAAAACCAGGACGGGTGTCACAGTTGGGGTCGGGCTGGGGGATAGAGATATCAGCTGAGATAAGATAATTCTTTAGGGGAATTAAACTGGGGAAGTAAATGGCATGTCATAACAATTTACAAATAATATCCAGTCCTGTCGATCTTCTGGTGGTCATGTCACCTATATATTTTGAGTCGTTTAATACAATGGCTAATTTAAGCTTTTCTATAGGTATCATACTCTTTTTACTTATCTCAACATAAGCTTTATGAAAGAAACACATGTAAGATGTTAATCAATAGATGAGACATATACAACGCACATGAGAAAGCACAATATATCTTTGAGACGACCCCTTGTGCCTGTATGCAGCACATGCATTTCATGCCAGGTGAGTCGACGGTCCGTCGTCATACCTGGCTGTGCGACCTAATTGCCATCTATAGTCTGATATATTGTTTTCAGCAGATATTTATATTTTTCTGTTTTGCCTGATTTTACGAGTAAACATGCTTTTCTGGATATCCTATTACGCATCCTACTGAACGCTCAGTTAGGCCCATGTGGGTTATTTCGACATATCCTATTTGCAATTGTGTAAATTTTAGGGATTCAGAGTAACAGCCTAAAACAGTTTTTCTGTTTACAAACACTTGCTTCTTAAAAAAATGGGGCGGTGGGGTAGCCTAGTGGTTAAAGCGTTCGCTCATCACGCCAAAGACCCGGGTTTCGATTCCCCACATGGGTACAATGTGTAAAGCCCATTTCTGGTGTCCCCTGCCATGATATAGCTGGAATATTGTTAAAAGCGGCGTAAAACTGAACTCACTCACTCACTCTTAAATAAATGTAAAAAAAAGTTTAAAAATCCTACCTACCTACCCTAAATTTTAAAGAGGTGTAATCGGAAGCACAACATTTGTTTTATTTGACCTGACTAGGAGTGTGAACCTGACTTATAACAGGAATGTCTAGGTCCGTTAGGGTTGTGATACAATTTGCTCACATCATCAAAAAGGAAAATTTCTGAAAACTGAAGTAATTGATTAAAAAGATTAAAAAGTATAAGTCTCAGTAAGTTGAAACATTGTTATGATGTCATTTTCAACGAAAAGAGAAAAAATCAAACCCTCATTCAAAAGGCATCATTCTTCATTGCCTTAACAACAAATATTTAATTTAAATAATAATTGTTTCTCTTTGGAAGAGAAATGACAAGTGGCAATTTTAGTTATGGCACTTGCTTGGTCCTATTTAAACATTTCTAATTGTTTAAGTGAGTGAGTGAGTGAGTTTAGATTTACGCCACACTCAGCAATATTCAAGCAATATGCCGCGGTCTGTAAATAATCGAGTCTGGACCAGACAATCCAGTGATCAACAGCATGAGCATCGATCTGCGCAATTGGGAACTGAAGGCATGTAGTAGTTATATAATGATGGTTCTGGACCACTTCCTCTTATAGGCTTATTTCTACGTGAATTCGACTTCGGTCAATGTACAGCGAGCTCGCCAGTATAACATAGTGATTTTCAACCAAGCAGAGACATCAGGGTTTTGATCAAATGTACAGCCGGAGTATTTTGGTCAGCCAGCCTAGACCCATTTTGCTAGTGTGCACGGCGTACTTGGTTTTGTTTATCAAGTTCGGGGCGAGTTTTTCCACCTGAGCCAGTGTGTTCTCGCCCAACAAGTCTCGCTGATAGTCGGACATCCAGTCTCGATCAACCATCAATCGTTCGGGAGCCTGCGGATAACTGTTGTGAGCAGCGTGCAATGCCGCGGGATAGTCCATGTCCATTTCAAAGAGGTAGCCTATCTCGAAGTTGTCGTGGATGGCCATAATGTTCTTCGGATTAAAATGCTCGCTATTAACCCACTTGAATCCACCCGTAGGCAAATACTGGCTCATAGCCCAGCCGTACCGGTTGTTGGCGTTGAGATACAGGAGGTGGTTGGTGGGCTTGTTCGAATTGTGTTTTTTCACGTACGGATTGTTGGCTTTCGCGTACCGTTTGGAGAACATGGAAATCCCGCCGCTCATGCCTTTCTCGACAAACAGGTGCATGTCGTAATCTGTGAGCAATTCCAGTTTAACTCAAGAGCACATCCCACAAGAGACCGGGGCTGGTGTAGTACCAGGCAGGATCGAGTCCATACTGTTTCAAACACATTGTTCTAAAGGTCTTGAACACGTCGGCCAGCAGGAGCACATCCGTTTTCAAGTACAGGTCGTGGTAGTCGCCCAGATTCTTGCAACCCAGTTTCTCCCACACGTTCTGGGTGTGGTTGTAAACGAGATATGGGATTCGGTTAAGTTGCTGTAAAATCGGTCGATGGGAAGTAATCGGGTCTCGTCGAACTTGGTCCAATTGTCCATGTTCTCGTACGGGTACACGCCCTTTTTTGAGCAGCAGAGGCCTTGTTGCCTCATGGGTGTATCCATGGGTGATTGCGAAGGTATCGTTGGCCTTGACCAAACTGTCGAGCGACGACAGGAGGAACTGAGCCCTATCGATAAATCTCAGACCTTTGAGAGAGAAGGAGATGTATTTCTCCATGTTGTTGGGGATGCATTTGATATCACCGCCGACCTTCGAGATGGCCTGCATGATCAAGTGAGCGTCGTACCCTCTCAAATTATGGAACACCACGGGGATGTTGATTTTTTGGGCACGCGTTGCACATTTTAAGTTGCACGCGTTGTGAGTGGCGCCTCGGTATCGACCGGTGATGTGACAATGATCACTCACCGAATCACCGTTCAGGGATCCTCGACATATGTGACAATATCTAGCTCGTCGATGAGCAAACTCATCCTCCGGCGTCATATCCATGGAGAAAGGTCATATCCATGGAGAAAGGATCCGACAAAGCTTCCCTGATGTTTCTCTCTTTGCGTTGTAAGAACGTGAGAAACGTTTCGCTCGCGCCGGGACCTCGGTAAATCACCTGTGGTTCCGTTTTTCCATCGCATCGGACGACCACGTACCCAAACCCACAGGCTTGGTGTTCTTGTGTTTTGTATGTGTAACTTTTTTTTCCGGGGATGGTGCGACGGTTTTCACCTGTTTGATGAGAGCTTCGAAGTCGTCGTAGATGACGTAGACACGGGCATTTGATATTGGTGGTTGATGAATTTTAAGATGTTTTTATTTTCTCGAGGCATATCGATTCTGATCGCCGTCCCTCCCACGCCTCGACAATCCTCCCGGTGCGATTCTAATAAATCAGCGTTAGAATACCCATGCAGACACCGTTCGCAGAAATGTTTCTTTCTGGCCTGTTTGGATTGGTCGTACAACAATCGGCTCAGACTTTTAATCGCTGCGTAGTGGTACTTGCCGTCTTTTTCAACGAGAAAAAAATTGATTCTGCGCATGGTTTTATTACTCACAGAGCTTATCCTGTGCACAATAACCCTATTGCCTTCGTGGCCGAAGACGTTTTGTTTTCCACTCGAGCAATTTGGGAGATGGGGGTAGGCATGTCTATACCCGTAAAGTCGAGACTGGATTCCTCGATCGAGGGATAGCTGGAAAGTCTATCGGGATGATGGGTCGCTGGATATACGGCGGCTATTACCGCCACCGGTAAACAATCATCGCCTTTATTTTTAGGGTTAGCGATAGCCTTTTTATTCTTAAAGTACGGAGGCAAGTCTATGTATGATCGGCATTTGAACGGCATGTTATGTGTTGATTTTGTCTACCACCCATCCAGAGTCCATGTGGGTATATTTTTTTTGGGAACAAGGCGTCGATGGAGGATTCAATCGATTCTGGTTGAGTTAGGACTTCCTGTTTGCCTCTGAAATAGGGCACGTTGGACTCGGTACTGCCGTCATTTTCATCGTCAGTTCGTATTTGATGCTTTCCAAATCGTTTAATTCTTCGCGAAGTTTACTGTCGATTAAGGGTTTACTTTATCGGTATCGATATTAGAATCGACCACCATTTTCCAACCTCTGAGATACTTACCCACCGAGTGGTCCGTCGGCAAGAATCTCAACTCCACCGGCTCAGTGTCTTCCAACAAG